CATGTGTTCTCTCATTCTCTCTCGAATAAATAAGATCTTTAAAAAAAAAAAAAAGGCGATAGTGGTCAGGTGTTGGTGGCGTGAAGTTTGGAGGGGGAGGAGCAGGGTATATATGATCTCTGTACCTTCTGCTGCATTTGCTGTGAACCTAAAACGGTTTTTTTTTAAAATATTTTGAGAACAAGAGCATGAGCGTGAGTGAGGGACAGAGGGAGAAGCAGACTCCCCACTGAGCAGGGAGCTGTAGGGCGGCTTGATCCCACGACCCCAGGATCATGACCTGAGCCGAAGGCAGATGCTTAACCCCGACCAAGCCACGCATGTGCCCCAAACCTAAAACTGTTCCAAACAAAACGTTAATTTAAGAGGGGAAATGCCTTATTAGCTCTAGTTCTGTACCAGGCCAAGGGCCCACACACCATAGGGCCCACACAGGCCTCCTGAACAGCTTGGCTGCTCACTGGAGAGATGGAGCCCCACAGCCCTTCCAACTAGACCTCCCGCCTCAGCTGGAAATCTGCTGTCCAAGTGTTGACGGCAGGTGTGGACTGGGGCCTGCTCACCCTCCTTACACCCCGCTCCTTCCTAACACCCTCTGCTCCAGCTCCCTGCATGCCTCCTCCTCCGTCTCCTTGCTGGGGAAATGGCCTGCCCACATGCACCACCGCCCACTGCTGGCAGAGGGGTCAATAGCGGTCAATAGGCGGTACTGCCCAGAACTCCTCAAAAGGCTGCCAGGCAGTTTAGAGCAGCCTCTGTGACAAAAAAGGGACAACTCGAGAAGGGAAACCATGTGCTGAGGATGGAAGAGAAGCTAGAACTTTCAGGATGTTGGTCAGGATGCTTCACACAGGCTCGGTATTTCTTTGAAACACTGATTTCTCTAATCCAGTCTTCCGGTATTAATAGTGCTTCACAGCACTACTCGACCCTACACCCTCTTACTTAGGGAAAAGTAGCCTTTAAACTAGCGTCAGTTATGGGTTTCAAACAAGAGGCAGATCTCAGCATCCACATCCAGCAGATGCTTCCCTCAGGTGGGCCATCCAACCAGGTGACTGCTGAGGGCACCGCTGGCCAACGCTCAGGGGGCCCCTCCGCTCCCCTCTCACCAAGACCCCAACAGTGGAACGCTGTTGTGGAAGCAAACACAAAATGGGGGGGGAGGAGCAAGAACACATGGAGTCAGTTCAGTGGAATGGAGGGAAAATGAGGTCTGGTTGGTATGGCCCGTGAGGATGGTTAGAAATAATTTAGAATACTTTTAGAAGCAAAACCAGAAGAAATCTGAAATGTTGATGAATCACTCCTAATCTTAGTACATAGCCAGTACCATTTCCACTTTCTCGCTTTCCCTATGCATTTTTCACTCAAATCAGTGTACACAAAATTTTTATTTTTGCCCCTCAACTGAAATCTTTCAAATCTTTTAAAAGGATACACAATGTAAAAAGCATCTTGGAAGCCATATCCAACTATCTCAATTTACAGAGAAATTTAAAGCCCCAGAGCTGTAGACTATGCCTAGAACCCACCTCCCGCCCTTTCCTCCCCTGAACATCCTCTAACGGGGACAGGATGTGAAACTCCACTGAATGCCCCTTCAACCTTTCCACTCTGGAACCTTTTAATCACTGTTCCACGTAGTTGGAATAAATTAAGTCTAGTGCTGCGATGCTAATGCACACACATCCCATGCTCAATAGATGTTTGAACCATACCGGGGAATCGAGGAAGGATAGCAATTTTTGCAAGGTAGTGTCTGCTTGAGGAGATGCAAAAAAATTACTCCCAAGAAAGTGGGGGCATCCGAGCATATGTAATTGTGTGCACAGAGACACATGTGCTTGTAAAAATGGAAATGTTGGATATGGCTCGTTAGCTTTATTAATGTACATCTGTAACTAGTATGATTAGCAAATTACTGTGCATAAAACAATGAAATTAAGTACTTTAAGAGATCTTAAAACAAGTCTAAGTACTTAAATACATCTAGTTCTGCAAGAATGGAGATGAAAGTTAAGAATGATTTTAGAACCACAAGTTTTAAAAGTATTTTATTGAAAAGATACTTAACGCCCATGCACACATTTAAGATTCAATCACAGGGTTACATACCATAATGGTGCTCAAGACAATGATGGATTCCCACAACATGCAACACCACTCTAAGAGCTGCCCAAACTTTAAGTCCAGACCCAGACCCTCGCAAGATAAATATCTGCACACACAGTGCAGGGAACAGCAGGTGTCTCGAAGGCCTGACCCAGTGCCTTAAGTTTAACAGGGGGGAAGCAGCTGGCAGTTTCTAGATCAGAAACGGTAACTTGACCAAAACCAAAAAACCCGTTTTCCAAAACTTTCCAGTGACCTCCAAATGAGGCACATAAGCAACTAGGTATTCTTCGGAGTCCTACATTCTCACTAGCTGACCTGTAGTAACCGATGCTGGCACCGGCTGTGGTGTGTTAGGTCACTAGCGCGGGCACAGCTTCCTGTGGTATTCCTGCAATGTTTTTACTTCTAAAAAAACTTGAAGAACTGTGCTTACACCAAACAAGGTGACATGGGAACAGGTTACCGAGGAATAATAAGGCCCTAAGAAAGGCAGCAGGTCGTATAGTTACCTCCTTGTGGGCAAAATCCCTGCCCTAAAACTATGCAACCTACTACCTCTTCCTAGGAACCCATTTTTTCCATGCTGGTCTTCTACTTGGCAGCTGTACTTCAAATTAACCTGTCAAATCAGGCCGTATTCTTTGGGTTTTATTCCAAATTCAAATCAATTAGAATTTCTTCACTGAGGCTTTTAAATAAAAGTTACTGGCCATGACCTCGGTAAAATTCACAAATGCATTTGCTTAAAAACAAACCTCTTGTTAAAAAGAACAAAAATGTAATTATATCATAAGATGCAAATCTCAGAAGCCTAGTATCTCCCAGCCCACCACATATCATTGGAGCCAAAGACTTTTAAAAACAAAGTATTACCAAAATTTAAATATCTAATTTCACAAAATTTCCAGTCCCTCTTGAGCCACTGGAAAATGAGGTGACACTGTATGTGTAAATGCTGCTTGCCACCTTCCACTAGAGCACATTAACTTACCAAGTTCTCTTTGGACACCACATGTTTCCTAGTTCCAGCCAGCTCCCCCCCTTCCTGGGCCCCGGGATTTGAGTTTTTGACCTAAGTGCTTTCACAGACTGTAGCAGTTCTCCACAACTTGATTTACTTACTGGGCTTGGCTAGTAAGGGTATGAAGTGGGTCCTTGTTAATTAATGAAAGATACAGATTCATGTTTCTCCAGACCTTAATTATTCCAACTGCAGAGTGGCCAGGATGTCCAGACCAGAGGCAATATGTGTGTCACAAAACCACAAAACCCCATGACTCCACTAGCCACACAGTGAAGTGAATTACCCACCTTATCAGCTTCACGAAAATTAAGCCAAAGAGAATTTCTTGAACACTCCCACTTTTCTTCGGCACACCAAAAGGCAAGAACATAAAAAGTCTCTCCCCTCCCCTGTATGTCCTATTTCTAACAAAAACAAACTCTGGACCATGCAGGTGTCCATCTATACCCCAGGGATAAAATAAAAAGCATAAATTCAGCCCAGAGAAGATCACCTGAGTCAGGCCCACCCAAGAGAATTGGATGTTTTCTCTCACACAGAGTTCCTGCTGCCAGTGGCCACGCACTAGAATTATCTTAGACTGCAAGATTCGGAACAGATGGAGGAAACATTTGGGAAGAGGTTACCTCTCCCTCACCTTCATACGTTGCCTCTTTCTCCTCTCCCAAAACAAAATAAACACAAGTGCTTTAAACAGGGAGCTTTTAGTATTGCTTATAAAGGCCCAAGGTAGGATACGGTTTGGCCACTGAAGAAGGCTGAAACACCGGCCTTCGGGGGTATTAAAACTCAAGTAGCCCTTTCTAGCATGATCCTCACATTTTCCTTTAAAACAACCAACTATGGATTTCCCCATCTGACAGCTTCAGGGGATTTCCCTTTGTGAATGCAGGGCCCCTATGGGGGAAAAGCTGAGGTCTTTGTGACTTACCAGGAGCAAGGGTAGGACCCAGAGCCCATCGCTCATTTCCCAGGCTGGAGGTGAAGCTGTCCAGATCAACATACTGGTGAAACAGTGCTTGCTTACAACATTGCCGAGGGCCACCCAAAACCCCAAACTGGGAGTAACAACCAAACTGACTCCATTTCAGCTCAGAGGGTGCCTTTCCAGTCTGTATTTACCACGGCCACCCAGGACCTCGTCCTGGACACATGCAGTGCGATGCAGAGCAATCAACCTATTCTTAATTCCAAAGGGGTCTAGTCCCGTTAAGATTTACTTTCTCCACTCAGATTTTTGTTTAATTTCAAATTTCTGAAACATACCATATGTGAAATGTAAGAAATATTAGATTATATCTACTGGAACACTATCCTTCAAGAGAAAATTAGCAACTGATACAGAGTACAAAACAATGTCAAAATTAATTCTTCTGAGTTTTAGTATCATCTAGATAAAGACAAAATGCAGCAAGTCTACTCCTCAGGGAAGGCAATAGATTGTATAGTTATCTCCTGAACAGGGTAAAATCACTACCCCACAACTATACAATCTACTACCTCACTCTGATAGAGCAATCTTTTCCTCTGGAATGGAGAACACTATCTTTTTCAAAAGAAAAATACAACATAAAATTATTGGCATCAATCAAATTAAAATACTTATTCTTATATACAGAAACGAGAAACAAAGTATCCCCACTGCCATCTAGGTGTACTTGCTAAAGTTTTTAATCATTAAATGAATAAGCAACCTGCAAAACATAAAAAATGAGGCACTAGAGCATTTTTATACAAGTCAAAATACTGTATAACTAGTTATCAACTTTCTATGAGGCCGCTGGGATGCAGATTTTTCTATCACGTTAGGAAAGACAGTAGATTGTATAGTTATCTCCCAGTGGTGGGTGTGACCCTAAAACTATACAACCTACTACCTCATCCCACAGTGAAGAGAAGGTCCACGGTCAGCTGAGCACCACAGGAAGGCTTTCTCCTCAGTAACCCTGGTTTCCCTGTGTGATGAAAGCAGAAAAAATAGTATTAGAACAATTCCATTCACTCAACTTGAACATAAGTTTAACTGAACAAAGCTTCTAAAACCAGAATTTTAAGTTCTAGCTACATTTATGATCTATGCAGTGCTTCATTTCCTATTATTTGGTTACTATTAAATGCTTATTTATCTGAATCTGCTCCTAATGCCATATATTTACAAGATCTAGTATGTTATCTCTTACTTGACTTTTATCAACTTCTCATTTTTTTTAGTTGCTAGAAATGAAAATTCGTAAAATCACATACCCTTCCACAAGAAACCAAAAAAAGAAAATCCACTATAAAGGAACACAAGAACCTCTAACGAAATCTAATGCCCTCAAAACCCAGACGTGCTCTGTATCTCATGCATAATCCATGATTAAATGCATTAATGTACATGAGGATGATATAAAAAAAATACAGAAAGAGAACCTTATTCATTCATTCATTCTCCACAACCAGCGTGGAGTACAATGCAGGGCTCAAACTCATGACCAAGATCAAGACCAGAGCTGAGATCAAGACTCAGAACACCTAAATGAGCCACCCATGCACCCCAAGAACTTAATTTAAAAATTAACCTAATGTGCTGCGAGCCAAGCTGAGATCCATCGAGGTGGCGTGTTCTCTCTGCCATGAGCTTTCTCACTAGCTGAATTCAACTGGGTGAACAATGAGTGGCCAAGTCAGTCAGATCCAGATCCAAACAAAGAAAAGATAATCCAGGGTCTAACCAGCAAGTCGGTGAGCAGCAACCCAGTGATGAGCAACCAAAACAAAAGGAGGTACCACCTGAGAGTCAGGATATTCTTCTACCTGACCAAGGGAAGGAAGTTGAAGGAGGACCTGTGGCTCAAGGACAGGACCTGGAAGCTGATCTCCAGGAACTGCCTCAGGCAAAGGCTGGAGGTATAACTAAAGCTGACCCTGGCATCAAGGGGCCAAGTCTACCCTCCTTAGAGCCCATTAAAATGCCAGAAGCAGGTGAAGGGCTACTCCAGATTTAAACAAGGACAAGCTGAAACATGCAGACTACTCTTATGTGGGGTACCTCACTGTTGTAATTCTCTCAATAAAGTTTTACAGATGTTCCACAAAGAAAAAAACATTAGCCTAATGCACATAATTCCATGCCAACTAACACTAAGTAGTCTTTTTAACAGAAAATTAACTGGATCTGACTCAGGACCAGGATCCTTCCTTTAGCTAGAAAGGTGCCATGAGGGTGTCAAAGGTAGAGACCAAGATACGTAACACCTTGGTACGATACTTTTGCATTAAGCAATATGATCACTTAGATACTGACTTTCAACAATGGTGCCAAGACAATTCAGTGGAAGAAAGAATAGTTTTTTCAACAAATAGTGCTGGGACAACTGGATATACACATGTGAAAGAATGAATTTAGACCCCCTACTTCACACCATATATAAAAGTGACTTAAGACAACCTATTTTAAAGAAGGGCAAAGGATTTAAACACACATCTTTCCAATGCAAGCACAAATGGCCAAGTACATAAGACACCCAACATCATTTATTAGACATTAGGTACACCTAAACCCAAACCACAATGGGATGCCACTTTCAGATCCACTAGGATGATTATGATCAAAAAGACAAGCAAGCATTGGTGAGGATATGGAGAAATTAAAATCAAAACCCTCATATACAGTTGGTGGGAATGTGAAATGGCACCAGCTGTTTTGGAAAAGTTTAGCAGTTCACTAGAAAGTTACATAGTTACCACATGACCCAGCAATTCCAACTCATAGGTATATTCCCAAGAAAACTGTACAAACTTGTACATGAATCTTTCACGGGAGCAATACTCATTTGGAGTCATCAAAAACCAAGATCAAATCCTGGCCCTGCTCACTCACTGTTACATCAGTACACTGGGCTGAATGATCTGTGAGAGTAAGGGGAAAGATTTACCACGCATCCAACATACACAAAGCCCCACTGGCAAGCCCTTCACGAGTGCCATCTTCATCTTATTTAATAGTCATCATCTCTATTTCCATAGGTGGGAACTCATGCTAAGTGTAATAACTTGCCCCAAATCACAGAAGATAGCACTGGATCTCCAAACTTACTATACCTGAGCTCATTTCCATTCTACAAGGCCAGATGATCCAAGGTGTGAACATGCAGACTGTCCCTAAAAAGTCAAGCAAGCCAAAATCTTTCTTCAGAACCAGCATGGTTTTTAAAAGAATGAGAGCCAACAGTAAAACCGGCTGGTACCTCTACCCCAACCCTCAACTCCAACCAATTTTCTCATTTAAAATGTTTGAGGGCGCCTGGGTGGCTCAGTTGATTAAGCGTCTGCCTTTGGCTCAGGTCATGATCCCAGAGTCCTGGGATAGAGTCCTGCATCAGGCTCCCCGGCAGGGAGCCTGCTTCTCCCTCTGGCCCTCACTCCACTCTCATGCTCTCTCAAATAAAATCTTTTTTGAATCCTCATCAAACATAGGTATCTAAAATGAAATAAATGTACAATCTAAAACGTATTCATTTTTCAATCTCAGCAAGTGTGGCATGCTTACTTTGTACTATTTTTCTTGATCCAGCAATGTAAGTACCATATTGGTAGAAAGCAATCTGGCAATTTACACACCAAGGGCTATTAAAATGCTGCTCAATTTGCGGGGGAAGCATACACAAATATAATTCAAAAGTTGGGTGTTTATGAACAAGGGGCAGAAGAAACAGATAGCTACTATGTAGCATTACTACTGATCAGAGCAGTGGTTTCCACCTTTCCACAATCCATAGCAAGGAAAGTATTTCATATTTCTAGACCACATTCATGTGTCTATAGATAATACTAGTACAATAAAATATTAATATTCACAATCAACACTATCCCTTACTTTTGTTTTCTATTTTATTGTACAGAATAAATTGATTTTATGGTCCACTGATAGTTCTCAGCCTGTTTTTTAGAAAGCACTGATAAGTGCAAATTTTGAAAACTAAAATCTAACACCTGAGAGTAGGCAGTGTTCAATTAAGCAAGATTTCAGATTCAGATAGAACTGAGGAATTATGACGATCCATGGAAATGTTCATTAAGAAATAAGGTTAAGTAAAAACCCTACCATGTACACAGTCACAACTATAAAATGCTCGGCTACTGGGAAAGAGAAAGGAGTAGGGGTACGTCACTAGCTTATTTTCAGTTGAGATTTCTCCTTCCATAGTTAAAGTGTATTTCAGAGACCTGATCTGAATCCAGCTTTTTATTTTACCATATATTTATTTAATTTACATCAGGTAATCTCTGGGCATTTGTTATTTTAACTTATAAAAATCTGACAAATTTTACAGGGCTGTTAAGAAGGATTAGAAATAAAATACAAAATGCACCAAGTACAATGCTGAGTGCATAATGGATGCTCCATATCTGGTAGCTGCAACCGGTCAATTATCAGATTGTTAACCAAAACATTCTTAGACAAGGGGCACCTGAGTGGCTCAGTCAGTTGAGCAGCTGCCTTTGGCTCAGGTCATGATCTCAGGGTCCTGGGACTGAGCCCCACATCAGGCTTCCTGCTCAGCGGGGAGTCTGCTTGTCCCTCTTCCTCTCCCCTACCCCCTGCTTGTGCTGTCTCAAATAAATAAATAAAATCTTTAAAAAAAAAAATTCTTAGACAAGATGTTATTAGTTAAAACTATCTGAATTTGATCTTTGACAAATTTTTTAGAAAGTAACACGCTTTTATACCTGCTTTCAATGCTTATTCACATACTACCTCAATCTGTAGCTTGAACTACTCCTCACCCATTAAAAATTACAGTCATAAAAAGTTACAATTGAATCTGGACAAATGTATCATAATAAACTGATTTCAGAACAACATAGCAGTATAAGAAAGAATTCCGGCCAATGACTTGGGTTGAGCAGGTACTCAGTGGCTGTGTTCTTGGACAAATTACATTACCTCCCTGAGATTTAGTTCTCTCATCTCAGATTAGGGAACTAACATGCACACCTCATGGGGTCGTTTTAGGAACTGGGAACATGTGCAAAACACCTTAATGACCCAGAAGTACTCAACAAATCGTAACTATTCTTCTTACTAAATTAAATCAATTTGAGAACCTGTCTCAGACAGTAATTTTCCTTTCCCAGATTTACTTGTGATAGTCAGAAATACTTATGTTCAATGTAAAACTTGCTTTGTCAATTTAAAATGTGCTGCGAAGAGGCTAGTTATTATCAATAAGCTTGTTTGCCTCTATCTCTACTTATACTAAGGTTCCATAATTAAAAGAGTCAATCCTTAACACATTTTAAAATCCACTTATATTTTGGTAAACCATAGTGTATAATATTATACCATAATATTTAACATACTACTTATATAGCCAACACCTTAAAGGTCAGGGTTGTTCTTTTTTTATGTTCAGTTAGCCAACATACAATATCGTTTGTTTTTGATGCAGTGTTCAACAATTCATTAGTTGCGTTTAACACCCAGTGCTCATCACAATAAAGTCAGGGTTCTTAACCTGCATCCAAAGCAGGCTTCAGGAAGGGCTACAGTAACCCCCAGAAATTGTATATACAATTTTTCTGCAATAATCTATGACTTTTATCACATTTTAAGAAAACTTATGACAAAACGGTTAAGTATCACGGTTCGAAAAACATATCTGAATATACATTTTGAAGGCTACATGTTAATGAAGTAAAATATGTAAACTTCACCTTTGTATTTGACAATTTTACAAAGATAGTATTTTAAACAAATTAGCTGCTAAATTCTTAAAATATACTAAACTTAGTCCAGTAGCAGGCATACTCTACCTTCTATACACTTCATACTTATTAAGAGTTCTGGGCAAAAATGCTGATTTTCTACAAGTCTAGTTTCCTAGACTTTAATTTACATACTCCTATCAAAGTAGCTCAGAAAGTTTATTTTTAAAAAACCTTTATTCATATGCCCTTCTATGTATGGTTGTATAAATCTCACGTCTGCCAAACTTCCATACAAATAAAGTAAAACATTTCCTTCAGTCCTATCATTGTTTCACTTGCTGATTATCAAACCGAGAACTGGCTGCTTCATAAAGATGTCCTTCAATCTCAAATATTCAGTTGAACATCAATGAAATCATTTATCTGATGATGCTGGCTGAATAGTAAAACATGTTCATTCCTTTGACAGAGCATGTGCAGTATTTCCAACAATGGATGAACTCCATAAGTTGACAAGTGAACTTGACAAAATAATGTTTTTAGATATAAATAAATTTTGCTACTGAAAGTTAATCCAATTCTAATTGAAGATCTCAATTTCTTTTTTTTAAGATCTCAATTTCTTATCCTACCAAACATTACCCTGAGGATCCATGTCAAGTTTTAAATTGTGAAATACTAGGTCATACTTTCCAAAAGGACAATTTCCTTTCACTCGCTTAAACATACAGCAGGTACACAGATGCTATTTTTTTTTTAAACTAGGCTCCACAGTGTGGAACCCAACACAGGGCTTGACCACACAACCCTGAGATCAAGACCTGAGCTGAGATCAAGAGTCGGATGCTTAACCGACTAAGCCACCCAGGCACCCCGAGACGCTCTTAATTAGATGAAATACCTCAATTCTGAAAAATTTTAAAAAGGTAACTAATGCCAACTCAATTCTTGGTATTCCTTTGTAAATTTTCCAATACTGCATGTTAATTTGGGGCCAACCTTCCTGCTACCACAAGGGCATTCTATGCTACTTCTGTAAAACTAAGAAAATTCTGCTACAAATACTACAATGCATGCAAATACTAAGGGTGAGGCAGTGTTCAACAACTTGGGTGACTTGTTCTGCTTAACAGTCCTCATATATACACCATTATTTCTCAATCCTTTAAAATCTCTGTCTTCCTATCTTTCATTTTACTGGTATGTTCCCAGGTTGAAAAATCACTATATTATCTACACATCCCCAAAAGCCAAGAAAAGGTGGGTTCTGGTTTTTAAATCTAGATTCCAGTTTACTGTAATTACCTATATTCTAGGTAAACAATTCATAGTCTACATTGCACAAAAGTGAATTCTAAGAAAAATGCTCCCTCCTATACATTAAGCTACCATGTAATTGACCAAATAAAAACACACCTCCCAAGTGAACAGAAAGCTGGTTTAACTTCCTCATAATGAATGCTGACACAAAGCAAAAATGGTTTCTTAACAGAACAAAATGCTCCCAAATCATATTCATCATTATGTCATTTTAAAACATCATCTAAAATCTCTTGAAATATTCCTAGAGAAGCAAAAGTAACACTTAACAGAAGTGTAGCTGTCAGCTGCCTCAGAATACTTAAATCTTAGACCTAGAAAGAGCCTAAGAAATCACCTGATGCAATTTCCTCATGTTTGAGATGAGGCTATAGAGACAGGGAACATTTCTGCTGATAATATGAAACTGCGAACAGCTACAGAAAGCTAATGTTTAAAAAGCAGCTAGACAATCCACTAGAATTACATTATCCACTCAGTAGCCATTAGCAACTTGTCACTATTGAGCACTGGATTGCAACTAGCCCAAAGAGAGATGCGCTGTAACTGTAAAATATGCTCTAGATTTCAAAGACCTGGCACCAAAAAAAGGAGTAGTGGCTTTCATTTTATCTGGTTATTTAATGAAATCCACTCTTAAGTGATTGTGCAATGCTTAGAACACCCACACAGGCAAAGGGCACAAGTGACGAGGCCTCCTTGACTCCAGTCCTGAGGTCACATGAGGCAATGTTGACAACTCATTACTGGGGATCCAGATTCTTCTACGCTCATCTAGACATGAAAAAAAAAAATCACTGGAATTAATATTCTGGGATCCTTTACTGTCTAAATAAAAGCTTCTCAGGATACTAAAAATTCTAAGTGATAAATTAACAGGGCTTTTAGTATTCCTTGCAGAAGATCAGTACTGTGAAAAACATACCCTTTAGAAGTACTGTTTTTCAAACTTTGACACCCCCAGAAAAAGGGATTTTACAGGAATGTTTGTGCATCTAACTGAATCGTTTCATGTAACACATTAACATTTTCTATTCTAGTTTTTTAAAAATTCTAACCATCACCCACCATAGCGATTTCATGACCCAATGAGTCAAGACCTGCAGTTTGAGACAATGGCGTACAGCTCTTAATACAGATTAGGAAAGCTATTACTGTTCACTATTGAAAGAAAAGGCACAAATATCCAACGTGCTGTACTCTAAACCAAGAAATTCTAGTTCATGCTAACAAGAATAAAACGCCCTTAAGGAGTAAACAAGACCAACTTGTAGAATATTGATCTCTTCATTCTAGAAGTCTAAACTCATTTACAAATTTCCTCTTATTTATGGGCAGGTATTTTGTTTCCCTCACACCTGCCTAATTCTTGAGTCTCTCAAATTCCAACAGTTTGAACTTAGTGGAGAAGAGGGAAGGACCTAGAGCCGTTCCAACGTAAAGAAAAGCATTTTCTAACTATGAAGACATTTGTCTACTCTCAAAAAACTCGAAAGCTTCAAGACTGCGTATAATAAATCAAACACCCTCACAAAACCCAAAGTAGCCACAAGCTTTCCTTCCTTAACTGCACACGCTCCCTGAATACACCGTAAAGGAACCTAACTGCCAGCCCCAAAAAGCCTGGATACGGACAAAACTACATACAAACCTAAAACCTCACCTCAAACCTCCCTGCGCTACCGCATGGCTTTCAGGCCCCCAGACACCAGAGCAGGGGCTGCTCCGTGAGCTGCTAACTTCAGGCACCGCGCGCCCAGGAAGCGGCACGCGCGTCCGCTCTCGGGGTTTGCCGGGGGCATCTCAGCCCCGCGGCCCGGACGCCCCTCCCGCAGGGAGAAGTCGGCCACCGAAGGAAGGGCCGGAGCACCGAGCACACCGTCCCCTCCGACACCCAAGGCAGGGGGCCAGGCCTAACGGTAAAAGTTGGACACCCAAGGCCATCGCGGGCCAAGGACAGAAAGGTTACTCACGCCTCACCCGGGGCCTGCCGGGGACGCACCCTGGCCAGCCCGCGTGCGGGCCGAGCGGCCCGGGTCCGGGTGGGCGGCCGCCAGCGGGCAGGGGTCGCCGCGCACGAGTCCGTCCCCCGGGACCCCACTTCCTCCCGCCGCCCGCCCCGCTCCCCGCCAAGGACGGCCGCCGCGGCGGAGCCGGCCGCACAGCGGCTCCGCGACAGGGGTTGCGCTCGGCCGGTCGGATTAGGGGCAGGGAGCCAGGCCAGCGCCCGCCTGCGGCCGCCCGCGCCGGCCCTCCCCCAGCACTTCCTACCTTCCCTCCTGCATCCCAGCCCCCAAGGCCAAGGTCTCCCCGGCCCACAAACCTGATAGCGGAAGTGACGTCAGGGGGACCTGGCTGTGCCCACAGCCAGTCACGCTACAGCGGGAGGCGGCGCCGGCCAATGGGCGCGGCCCGGGGGCGGGACTTCCCCCGCCCAAGTTTGATTGAGGCGGGGGGAGGGGCGGGGTGAAGAATGTGAAGAATGACCCCTCCCCCCGGTCCGTGAGGCGCTGGGCGGGAAGCGGAGGGGGGTTGGGGCCAGCCGCCCGCGCCACGCGGCGCCCATCCCCCGCCCGCCGCCGCCGCCGCCGCCGCCGCCGCCCGCGGTCCCCGCTCACAACCCACCCGCCCCGGCTCCGGGCCCCCGCCGGCCCGCCCGCAGCGCTCCCCTCTCCCACCGCCACTGGAGTTCGGAGGGAAGGAAAATGGCGACGGGCCTGCGCTCGCCGTCCGTCTTCGTACCCACCTCGAGCTCGCAGAAGAGGCCGCCATCCCCCGCCTCCGACCACGGGGACGACCCAGCCCTCGCGCCCGCCGCCCGCCACCGCCCGAGAGCCGCGCGCGAGGACCCGGATGGAAGCGCGGGCGGGCGGGCCGCGGCGGCCTGAGGGAAGGCAGCGCGGGCGCCGGGAGGCCGGGGCGGGGGCGGGCGCGAGGGCAGCGCGCGAGGGCATTGGCCGGGCCGCTTGACTGACGTACGCCTCGCCCTTTCGCCTCGGTCGAGCCGGGCTCGCTGGGACCCCACTGGAGGGCGGCGGCTGGGCCCGCCCCGCGCTGGGCGGCCGGCGGAGGGACGGGCGGGCCCGCCTACCCTGCCCGCTCCCCGCTTCCTATTGGGCGAGCCGGAGAGTGGCGGCGGCGCCCCGCCCCCCGAGCGTGATGGACGGGCGCCGTCACGTGGCGCCGAGGGCGCGCTGGGCGGCCGTGTGGGCTGCCCGCCGTGCCTCGGTTTACCAGTCTGTGGCCGAGGCAGCTGTGTCTGGGGGCTGTGCCAGCCTTCGAAGAGTCTGGTCTTCGGACGCTTCTCAAAGCGAGCCTTAATCTTCCCGCTTTCAAGTCAACCTCCGGCGGAGCTGCCGCCTGCGCTGCGACTTTCCCGGGCCAGGACCCGGGGCGCGCGGGACAGCTGCGGGTGCCATGGGGCCGCGCCGGGAGCCGCCCCCGGGCCCGCGCCGCCCCTTCGCGCTCGCGGTAACCCGGTGGGAAATCGAGCGGCTCGCGTCTGCCCAGTGCGCCCACACCTCGCAGCTCCCGCAGTGCCGCCCGCCACACGTGCGCGAGGCGAGCGGCTGTTTCGTGGGGACCTAGAGGCGGGCGCGCTTGAGCTTGGGCCTGAAAGCGGGGCCGCGTTCCGGGAGGACTCCTGGGAGGAGGAGGTGCTGCGGGAGGAGCACGAGCCCACCGAGCTGGCTGGATTCGTGCGGGGCCCGCCGGGCACCCGGTTAGCAGGTGCCCTGCGCTTCGACCGCGTGGCCCAGGCCGGGGCCCATGTCGGGGACGTGTGCTAGGAGCCCCACAGCACTGTCAGCCTTTCTGACATTTTCTGTACTCGCCTGTAACTTGGGAAAGTGCACATGAAATACATTACGCTCTACTTTCCAGTCCGGGCCAACCAAGCAACTCCAAAGTCCATGATGGAAAAGATTAACGGATACGACCGTTACGTGAAAAACCAATTTTAAAAAAAGAAGCTACTGTTAAAAGGCCATTGACAAATTGGAAAAACGATTTTGTAAAATCTAACTGGCAAAACGCTAATTAAAATGTCTAGCAGTTAGGAGCAGGAACCTGAACCGGACGCCGCGTTTAAATCCCGGTTCTGCCTTCCCCGACTACACCACGACACAGCACTGGGCACGCTGCTTATGCTTTCTGTGCCTAAGGAGAATAACAGGGATTCTGGTAATACTTAGCTAAGGTTTAGGTGAGTCTACATTACCAGTACTTAGTGCTGGTGCACATAACTATAGAAGTGCTAGTATGTTAACCTGAATATGTAATGTGGATTTTCTTTTCAAATCAATAGGAAAAAAAGTGGACAGTCCGTTAAAATAGAGACAAAGGATATGAACTGGCAATTCACAAAAGACATAATTATGACCAATAAATGTGAGAAGATGCCGGCCCTCATTAGTAGTCAAATAAATAGAAATCACAGCCCTCTCCAAGTTCATCATAGTCATTACTTAAGCATGCCATGAAAAACTATGATGGTAAAGTAGGTCTCTATCGATATGGGGAAGTTACGAGAGTTACATTGTTAAGCAAGAAGTAAGGTTATAAAACTATGTGTATGACACGACCCCGTTAAGTCTTAAACATCAGTTAGCTCTGGAATTACTGATGGTCTTTATTGTCTAACTATTTCTGGATTTTCTTTTTTTAAGATTTATTTATTAGAGCTGGGGGGAGGGGCAAAGGGAGAGGGAGAGAGAAACTTAAGCAGATTACCTGCTGAGCGTGGAGCTTGACACAGGGCTCTACAAAGGGCTCTATCTCACGACACTGAGATCACTACCTGAGCCAAGACCAAGAGTTGGATGCTTATCCACTGCATCACCCAGGTGCCCCACCTATTTCTGGATTCTTAGCACTGAGTGTGTGCTGTTTTCATAATCAGGAAAAAAAATATAAAAGTTATCCAGACACGGTCAGTTGTTCCCCAGTATCCATTTTTCTGCAATAAACAGGAACCCGGTTTTTAGGTAATAGCAGAAGTAGAGCATCCCAGGATGGAGATGTGTGACTGTGTTCTGGCTGGTGAGATGTGGGTGTTTCTGGATTCTGCCCTCCAGGGGAAGGGCTTGCCTCTTCTCTCCCCCTGATTCCCAGCGGCCTTGGCGGAATGGAGTGTAGTGGAGAGCCACGTGGAGTGAACCCCAGTCCTCTGGTGGCCTCGTAGGGCATCGTCCACGAAAGCTTGGACTGCGACAGAGACACGACTTCCATCTGATTTGAGCCCCTCAAGTGTGGGGACACTTCATAGCAAGCTAGCCTGAGCAGGCGGGCATGCCCCCCACCCCGTGTCTTGTTCTACGGGAGTGGGGGCAGGTCTAGGGAAGGTGGAGAGGGCATTTTGTAGAACACCTTGCAGCTTTGGGAATAGAGCAAACATGGGTGAAAGTCCTGGCCGTCTGTGTCCCAGGGGCCCCCTCAGGCACAGACACCACGTCCACTTAGACCGGAGCAGGAGAGCCCCGTGGAACGGCCGGGTGACAAAAGGAAGAGGAGGAAGAGGCAGGAAGAACACGCATCACTGGGCACAAGCGGAAGGACCTGCTGGTAACACAGACCAGCCCACAGCAATCCTTGGGTTCAAGTCGGAGCTTGTGCCACGGCCTGGCCTCAACCTCCCTCTCCACTCCCCGTGCTCCTACCACTGCTCGGGCTGCCTGGAATGCTCGTCCCCCTCTTGGTCTGGCAGGTCCTGTCGTTCCGATGGCACTTAAGCCTGGCCTGCTCAGAGAGCCCTTTCCTGACCACGCAGCCTGAGCCCCCCACTTTGATCACACCTGGTCGTCTTTGTGCTCTCTGAACCGGGCCTGCTTGTCTGCATTTTCACGGCTGTGACCCCATCTCCTAGAACAGGGCCCCAGGCACACAGTAGGTGCTCAATCTCTTCATGTGGAATCAAAAGGGAAGTGACAAGGGCAATTCACAGTGCTTGAGTTCGAAGGACACCAACGGTGGAAAGGTCACAGTGGAGTCCAGGTCGTGAGGGCCACGACCGGTGGACAATGTGAAAAGGCCAAGTGAGCAGAAGACACGGAGTTCTGAGAAGACCTGCAAACTCCCATGGGACCCCAAAGGCCCAGTGTCCCTGCGGCCTCGCTGTCCCAATCCCACTGCTGGTCCACACCTCTCTGCAGGCAGCCTCGGGATAGAACCCATCCTCCACCTTTGTTTCCTGGCAGCCGAAATTTGGAGTAAAACACAGTCCTGGGAGCTCCCTGTGACGCATCCGTGCCCAGGTGAGACTGGGGGCGTCTTGGGCTCCCCTCCTCTGGCCCGACACTCAGCGGGGTGCAGATGATCAGCTTGCCTCTGGGCCTCCCTGTTCTTCAAAGCTCAGTCTTCTCACCCTTATTTCTGGGTTCCACCTTGGGGCCAGGTCACAGCAGAGCTCCGGTGTGTGTCGATCTGGAGGAAGATGTCTGAGCATGCCTCCCAAGGGCCCCCCACTCTGCCTGCCTGTGGATCCAGGGGCCTCCTGCTTCCCTGCACGCCCACTGGAAAAGTGCTGGCCTGGGAAGTCACAGTCGGATGGGGGAGAGCCTATACTTGGCAAATGCACCCCCGCCAAGGCCCTGGGGGAGGGGCAGTTGTATTGTCCACCTCAACCAGAGGCTGCAAACTGGTGAGGGTGGGGAGGTCCCATCTGGTTCACAGAAGGGCTTTGTTCCACCCACACAATGTTTTAAATCTATTTTTAATTAGCTGACAGCTTTCAAAAGAATCAAGACATTTAACATAAAAAATCTGGATTTCTTGCTTTTCTCAAAAAACCCGGGATCTCTGGCTATACTCAGCCTACATTCCAACAGGACAATCTTTTCTTTATGCGCAGCGTGGGCTCTGTTATTTGTCACAGTACCCCCCGCCCCTGCCCCCCGCCTGCTCGATTTTTATTATGAGCCTGGCTTCGTGGTCAGTTGAGTTTGTGTCCCCACCACCTCCTCTTTGGGGCATGGCTCTGGCCCGACTTGGGTCTAGGTGGAGCAGAATCGTTTCCTGGGACTGTATCAAACGAACAGGAAGAAGAGACCTCACACACCCACTCACAGCCTCACACCCCAGTCTGTAATGAGGGGAGAAGTCATTCCGCAGAAAATACACAAAACAAGTGTTGAAAACAGAGAAAGAAGAGAGACCGGGCTGAGACTTAGGGTCCCGTCATCCCCAAGGCCAGCCCACCCTGCCCCCGTGTGTTTCAGATGTCCCTGACCAGGAGGTAGCAGAAGCAGGGGGCTTGAGAAAGACCTTTGGAACCCAGGTGGCCAGCTGTGGTTTTGGACAAATCTTAGATCTCCCCCCCACCCCCACCCGTTTCTTCAGCTGTGCCATGCGGACTCTGCTGCTAACCTTCCGAGGTGGGTTATGTCATTACGTGGAGCATTGAATGCAATGCTCGTGCATAATCGGGGCTACTGAGGATTCCACAAGCACTTACTGACTTTCATGGCAAATGTTTAAACACAGGTGGGCTGGCATTAAGACGAGCCCCCTCCCTCCTGAAGAATGGCAGCAGTACCCTTTAGGGAGACATTTCTAGACCAGTACCGCCTTCGAGGACTCTGGGGTGGGTTGGAACCAGCCAGGCCTCCACCTGATGGACCGGGATTCGCATTACTTCCCATCCCTCCAAGGACTGTGTCATCTTGGGCTAGTTATCTCAGTTCTTGGACCCTGAGGTTCTCGATTCTTGGACCCTGAGGTAGTGGAGATAATAAATCTCATCTCTTTCAGTGACTTTGAGAATGGAATTAACTCCCTAGCAGG